GCAGAGAGCGGAGGGGCCGCAGACCCCCCAGAGCCCAGCCACAGAGGAAACAGCAGCCCAGGAGCCCCCACACGGGAGGGGGCATGACCACTGGCGCTGGGGGGGGCCTGGGGGCCTGGCTGCAGGGGGGCAGGGGGAGATCTGGTGGCTCAGGGGAGCCCAGGTAGAGAGAGTGGCTGCAGCCTGGGACTGCCGGCCCTCCCGCTTCCTTCCCTCACTTTCTCTTTTCCTCTCCCCCTCTTTCTCTACGTTTGTGCTGCCTCTCCTGTTTCTTCTTCCCAGTGTCATCAGCTGGACTTAGGCACGGGCTCCGCCGCCTCCCCTCTGTGTGGCCCCCACTGCAAACCTAATCCTGACACAGCGCTCTGCCCTCCCCCTCTTATCCAGCTTTTGGGCTCCCTCCTCCAATCCCCACTCTCCACCCTACATCTGTTCCAGAGAGCTAGATGGGAGGGGAGAGGGATGAGGGGAGAGGCAGGGACCAGTCATTCTCTCCCTCCCTGCCTCTCTTCCTGCCTCCCTCTGCCCTTTGCTCCATTATGAGAGATGGGGAAATCCAGGACGGGATGTCATAGCAACCGCAGTTGAGCCGGTGCTCCCCTCTCCTCATTCCGCCTCCTGGCAGCAATTGCGATGGGCATGATCAAGGGGCAAGCTGCATCTCCTGGCAATCTGCTCTGGCTGCCTGTACCCGCTGGACAGCGTGCTGCTGAATTGGAATTTGACATTGGGGATGGCAAGGGTAGGAAGCCGAGATTCATATTAACTATGATTGTACAGACTGTGGCAGTTTATAAAGTGTCTTTCATTTGCATCATCTCAATCTTCCCCACAACTATGTAAGGTGAATATTCTTTTGTAAAAAAATTTTTGTTTTTTATTGAGTCAGAGAGGAAGGGAGAGGGAGAGAGAGAGAGAGAAACATCAATAATGAGAATCATTGATCAGCTGCCTCCTGCATGCCCCACACTGGGGATTGAGCCAGCAACTCAGGCATGCGCCCTGACCAAGAATCAGACTGTGACCTCCTGGTTCATAGGTTGATACCCAAACACTGAGCCACGCCAGCTGAGCACCATTCCATATTCTTAGTATTACCAGTTACCGTTATTTAAGTCCAAAACACACTGGGTGAAGACATAATAGTGAGTTGTTTTTCCCTTCAAGAAGCTTTTCATAGTAATAACAACTAGCATTTGTAGTGTTTTAGCATTTACATGTAAGTCATTTAATCCCCACAATAGCTCAGTGGAGGGAGATTATTATTGACCTGCTTTTGCAATGAAACACGGGTTCAAAGATGTTAACTATTTGCTCTTGGTCATACATCCAGGAAATGGCATGATTGGGATTCAAACGAGATAGCCGAGGGACAGGGACTGAGCCTCTCTCACTCATCACTGCACCCTGAGGCCTGGCCCATCGCTGAGCGACTGAAGTGAACCTCGGGACTGGTTTACATCATCTTAATTGTTCTTTACAAACTTTAAAAACAAGGGCCCTGCCATTCGGGGGCCACTTTTACAGCCTTCAGTGAAAGAGGTACTATGTGAGATACAATATCTGCTCAATGAACACACACACACCCAACTCATATACAGATGTACTTCCTGTGCTTGGGTCCATAGGCCTGGACATTCACGGGGATGGAGAAAGGCAGCATTCCTCGCCCTCCTTTAGAAAGGGGCCGTGTGCGTTCCCTGAGCCTCTGTGCACTCGGACAGGTGGAAATGCTCCAGGTGGCAAGCTCCCTCTTAGGCCAAAAACGCAGAGGACAGCAGAGGGCGCTGCAGAGCCATGGACCTTAGTTCTCTGGTAATGGCGTCTGGGGCCAGAGCTTTCCAGAAACAGCCAGGGATCTTAGGTGGTCTTGGTAGGCCTCAGGTGTTCTGTGATCCTATAGCACTTTCTCTTCTTTTCTCCAGAAACCTCAGTGACACCTGAGAGGAGCTGAGGGAGAGGAGTTAGAGAGTACAATATTTGGCATCAGACAGGGCTGATTTTGAATACCACTGCAACTTTTGAATTGTGTGATTTTGGGTGAATAACTGAGTTTCAGTTTCTTCATGGGCAAGGAAGGATATTAATTCTGTTGGCTGAATGAGATGAATTTGTATCAAGAGCCATCAGGTGTGAGGTTGAACAAACACTCAATACTTATCATCAAGGGCTTACTCTGTGCCCAGAAAGAGTCCTCGGCACTGAGAGACCACGATGGGCAAATGTGGCCCTGACCTTCATGGAGCTGACAGCTTAGTAATGAAGAAAGACTTCAACCCCACAACTTCACAGATGACAAATTATATCTGTGCAATTAAGTGCAACAAAGGAGTGGTCCTGGACCTGCGGACCTAAGAAGGAAGTGCCAGGCAGGGAGATTTCCCTGAGGTGGTGAGAAGTGCGATCTGAAGAATGAGTAGACATTTACCAAGCAAAGAGAGGAAAAAGCCTTTCCAGGAAAGGGAATCGCTTATGCGATGGCCACATGTGTGCAAGCTGGACACAGGGCAAGTGGAACTACAGGGGAGAGAGAACAGGGGGAAGCTTGGTGGGAGGAGGCTGGAGAAAGGCAGGGTCAGATCCCACAGGACCCAAAAACCTCCTTATTAAGTTTTGTCTTTAGCTTGAAAACAATGGGAAATCAGGACGCATTGTAATGACTGGCTATTGGACAGATTTCCATTTTTATTTATTTATTTATTTATTTATTTATTTATTTAAAAATATATTTTATTGTTTTTTTTTACAGAGCGGAAGGGAGAGGGATAGAGAGCTAGAAACATCAACCAGCTGCCTCCTGCACACCCCTACTGGGGATGTGACCAAGGTATATGCCCTTGACTGGAATTGAACCTGGGACCTTTCAGTCCACAGGCTGACACTCTATCCACTGAACCAAACCAGTTTGGGTACAAATTTCCATTTTAAAAAGGTCTTTCAGGCGGCAGGACTCATAGCAGACCCTCCACCCTCTTCCCCTCAGTGCACCCTGGGTACCAAAGTTGCTAAATTCTGGTGGCTGCTGCTTCCCCATGATCCCTTGCTCCCTAAACACTTCGCATAGGACGATTGCAATGGTTTCCTAACTGGTCTCCCTGCCACCAGTCTGACCTCCTCTACACATCAAGCTTGCTTTTGTTTGATCTTCACAACATGCCTGCCAGTAAGTCAAGCAGCAATCCTTATTCCTGTTTTTTTCAGATGAGAAAACGGTAGTATGATGGAGCTGGCTCGTACAGGTTTGTGAGAGCCAATTAAAAACATTTCAGGAATTCTGCAAGCCAGTTGTTAAACTTAGCCAGTGTTAAAATTAAATTATACAAATTTGTAATGGAATAAATATTAAAAACTAAGGTAATGAATTATCAAAATTCATCACTTCCTAATAATTTTACTATTATGAATTATCTATGCTCTTGGCATGCTACTTCTCATCTCTTTCTAACTCTGTGTTCAGATTGAAATCAACCATGACAGGAGTATTTACAACATGGAAATTGGCAAACCATACAAGTGTGGTGTTTTGTTGATTATCTTCATTTAAGAAAGTGATGGAGAAAATGTTAATAATTCAGATTTAAATTTAATATGTTATGTCTGTGGCCATTACATTGTGAATAGAACAAAATTTGTGGACATATTAAGTATTGAAAACAGTTTTCTGATTCAGCAAAGAAGTCACTCCCATAATTGACAGTTAAGATTGTCTTTTTTAAAAAAATATATTTTTTATTGATTTTTTACAGAGGAAGAGAGAGGGATAGAGAGTTAGAAACATTGATGAGAGAGAATCATCGATTAGCTGCCTCTTGCAGGATGTGCCTGCAACCAATGTACATGCCCTTGACCCGGACCTTTCAGTCCCCAGACCGAAGCTCTACCACTGAGCCAAACCGGTTTCAGCGTTTGTCTTTTTTTTTTTTTTTTTTTTTTTTTTACTTTCCTCTTACGTTGACATAGAGGAAAATATTAACCAACATCCACTCCTTGGTCAAATGACACCACAGGGTTACTCTTCAAAAGCTTGGCAAAAGCCAATAAAAACATTTTGCGAGAATCAATTGATTACATGGAACTTGCAATTGTATATTATTACTAGAAGCCTGATGCACGAAATTCATGCAAGAGTAGGCCTTCCTGCCGAAACCGGTTTGGTTCAGTGGATAGAGCGTCGGCCTGCAGACTGAAGGGTCCCAGGTTTGATTCCGGTCAAGGGCATGCACCTTGGTTGCGGGCACATCCCCAGTGGCGGGTGTGCAAGAGGCAGTTGATCGATGAATCTCTTTCATCGATGTTTCTAGCTCTCTCTCCCTCTCTCTTCCTCTCTGTAAAAAATCAATAAAATATTTTTTTTTTAAAAAAAGAGGCCTTCCTGCCCCTGGCTGCCCGCACAGGCTTCCTTCTGGCACCGGGATAGGAGCTTCATCCGGCAGGTCCTCAGGAAGAACGCCCGGTCTAATTATCACACTTTTATTATTATAGGTTTTTTTATAAATTGTGTGCTACATATCTTTACATCAGTAACATTTATGCCAAATTTATGTATTCCATTCATATATCTGCATACACCTCCTCCCCCTTCTCTCCCAGTGCCAGTTCAACATTTATCAGCACTCTTAGAACACACTATCCATGTGTCATTGCATGTACATTCACTCCATGACAGGGGTGATAACAGTTTATCAATGAAGAAGTGACTCCGCCTCGGTCACACCTCGGGAGCGGCACAGGCGGGACCAGAAACCGAGGACCTCCCAAGGACAGCAGCTCTCTCCCGGGATCAGACCTGGAGTCCCAGGGCTGGTGCCCACCTCGCCCGCAGGGGTGGCTTCGGCCTGAGCGCCCGGGAAGTGAAAAGCGAGGGTCGGGCCGGGGACCAACAGCCAAGCGAGAGGCAGCTCGCGGCCAATAGCGGGCCAGGCCTCGCGTGACGTCACGCCCCCGGAGGCCGGCGCGAGCCCGCCCTGGGGAAGGGGCGTGGCCACCGCTTCCCGGAAGTGACGCCATCGGGGGCCGTCCTCCGCGGCGGCGGCGCGCGGCCTGGGCCTGCGCTTGCCTCCGCGCGCCCCCCGCCCCCCTCTATGAGGCTGAGGCCGCGGCGGCCGTTAGCGCTGTCGCTCCGGGGCCCGTGGCGGGCGGGGCTCCGGCGGGGCCCGGCCTAGTCCCCACCCCAGCTCGGCTCCCAGCCGCCCGCCCTCCCTCCCTCTCTCCCCGATGCAGGGGGCCGAACTCCGGGATGGCGAGGCAGCGGCGGCGGCGGCCGCTTCGTACCGAGTCCTGAGCCGCCTGCTCGGCTATGGAGAGGCGGCCCCCGAGCCAGGCCCTCCGCCGCCGCCCCCGGGCCATGGCCCCCCGCCGCCATCCTTCCTCGCGCGGCCCGGTGCGCGGGGCTCCCGGCCGCCGCAGCTGATGGTGTTCCGCAACGTGGGCCGGCCGCCGGAGGAGGAGGACGCGGAGGCAGCCCCGCAGCCAGGACCCTCGGAACTGCTGTGTCCCCGGCACCGGTGTGCCCTGGACCCCAAGGCCCTGCCCCCGGGGTTGGCGCTCGAGCGGACCTGGGGCCCGGCGGCTGGACTCGAGGCGCAGCTGGCGGCCCTGGGGCTCCGGCAGCCGGTGGGGCCGGGGGTCAAGGCGGTGGGTGGCTGCTGCCCGTGCCCGTGCCCCCCGCAGCCGCCCGCTCCGCAGCCCCAGCCGCCTGCCGCCACCCCGCAGGCCGGGGAGGACCCCACGGAGACGAGCGACGCGCTGCTGGTCCTGGAGGGCTTGGAGTCGGAGGCCGAGAGCCTGGAGACCAACAGCTGCTCGGAAGAGGAGCTCAGCAGCCCGGGCCGCGGCGGCGGCGGCGGCGGCGGCCGGCTCCTGCTGCAGCCCCCGTGCCCGGAGCTGCCCCCGGCGCCCTTCCCGCTGCAGGACTTGGTCCCTCCGGGGCGCTTGAGTAGAGGGGAGCAGCCGCAGCCGCCTCCCCCGCCGCCGCCGCCTCCGGGGCCCCTCCGGCCGCTCACAGGCCCTTCCCTGAAGGGCTCCCTCAAAACCCGCCTCAGCCGCCTCTTTCGCACCAAGAGCTGCCACGGCGGCGGCTCCGGGGCCGGCAAGAGGCCTGCGGGGGAGCTGGCCGCCTCGGCCGCGAGCCTGACGGACGTGGGGGGCTCCGCGGGCCGCGAGCTGGACGCCGGGAGGTAAGACCCGCTGGGGGCCTGGCAGGCAACGTGCCTTTTGTGCTTCGTTTCCCGTTTATCCTAACGAGATCCTGACAGTTCTTACGCTGTGGCGATCGTAAGGAGGCAGAGAATTGGGGCTAAAGGTGGTGATCATTGCCTCATTAGGTCAGAGGCAATGATGGGAAACAGCTTTCACCCCCGAGTTCGTTCATTCCCCTTGGTATGTCTCACCTGGTTAGCACCTCTCTCGTGCTCGGAGATGATTTGGAACCATGCCTCCACCCCACCCCTACCCTGGCCCAGCTTGTAAAGTTTCCCCAAGGTGTCTGCCTGCCATTCACACCCACAAAGCGATCGCTGGAGACAAAAAGTTGGTGTTGCATTCTGACCACCTTGCTTACGATGACTCTTTCTGCTCCCCCAGCACCCCACCCCCTTCACACTCACGCATACTAATGAGGTGGTGAGTTGTAGGCCCACCGTCAATTGGGCCTCTCAACACCAAGACTTCATGTTTTCCTCGTTGGGCTCTTATGTAGGAGATATCGCAAGCCCGTGTGCCGAGCACTGTCAGTGACACTGCAAAACAGCTTTGCAATCAAGCCCATGTGAGAATTCTAAGTCTGAGGTGTAAGTATTGGTGCATGAGTTCCAGGTGAATGGATGGAACTTTCAAACTTAGACATTGAGGTTTTCCCCCCTGCGTTTCTGAAGGGGTGGGCTGCTCAGTATCATCCAGTATATATTGGTTTAGAAAGCTGTCAACTTCTGTGTCGGTGAAATGAGACTTCCCTTGTGGTAAACGCCACTGTGGTTTGTGCTGCTGAGCGGATTCTGAGAAAGACTGGGATTGGTTTTGGTGCGGCTCATGTGATGGGTTCTTGAGACACACTGGCAGCCACAGCCCGAGGCTGAAGAACAGGTAGACGACAGATTGAGAACTCTGTGCACCAGAATCACGTGGGGAGCTTCGAGGAAAGATCAGCATGTCTGAGGGCCCAGGAATTTGATTTTTAAAAAGCTCCTCAGTTGATCTGAAGTAGGACCTGGACTGGGAACCACTCATCCAGGACTTCTCTTTTCAGAGGAACTTGTGTTCTCCAAAAGGGAAGTGTGGGGTTCCTTTGACGTAGCTGCCCTTTCGGAACAGCTGTGCAGGGGCTTATGGTGTCAAACCAAAAGTCCCTAAAGAAATTGGTAGGCTGATGCATGTTACCCCTTCAGGTAGACCTGTGTCTGCATTTGCCTCCAGTGAGCTCGTGCTCAGGTCTTAAAAAGTGTGTGGCTGCTGAAACAGCTCTTTTGTAGTAGGCTCTGCATGCGATGCTCCACTTAACCAGAATAGATGAAATTCTCATCATACGGAGGGAGGGCAGGATTGAAGCTGTGGGTAATGACATAGGACGGATTGCTAATTTTCTTGTGATTTGTCTTGCCTTTGTTCCATATTGACCAGGCCTTGGTCTGGGATTCCAGAGACGCTGGGTACGAGGTGTGACGTGAAATTAGCTGCCCCGTCTAATAGATCAGGAAGGGGAAAAGGCATATAACATTATACGGTGTTTGCCTTTGGAAGCAGAATTTAATGGTCATTGGCTGCTCTGTCACCAACCCTCACACTAAGCACAATACAGACTTCTGCTGCAGAGCACATTGGGCTGTAGATCTGCAAAGCTTAGTTCAGGGCACTGGAGAATTACATTTTTTGGTCCAAAGGCTTTTTCTGATGAATTGGAGAAGAGCTAGGTATTTGTGTATGAGCGTTTGGCTGACTGCTGTGAGGAGGCAGCTTGTTGGACAGAGAACACCTAGACTCCATTTAGAACTCCAGCAGCAGCTGTGGGATGCTGGCCAATTGTGTTTTCTCTCTTTTTACTTTTTACTAGTAACTATCCTGACCTTGTAGGAATAGAGTGAAGACAAGAGAAGTGGAGATGGAATAGTTTGTGCTTTGGAGCAGTAATAGGATTGATCTGGTGGTTTTTTTAAATTTTTTTTTAATGCTAGATTTGCTTGTTAGCTCTTACACAGCTTCCTATGTGCCAGTCTTGCTGGCAGCCTCGAGGCTGCGAGAAACTTGGTAAGTCTGGCCAGGGTAGTTGTGATTTCTATGGATCTGCACCTCCGAAGGAAGGAAGAATGAGTTTGGGTATTTAGCTTGTTCTCTTGTTTTGATTGGTAGGATCTGGAAGCTGTGAGAATTCTCAGTCTCTTGCCAGAAGGTATATGCCTTCCTCCTTAATGATTTGGAGCCTTTGCTGTATAATTTGGGGCTTTAATAGTAACCTCTGGACATGATTCTCTTTGCTCTGCTTAATATCTACCTTTCCCACAGTTATCACTAGAAAATACTTCCTATAATCATTTTATAAGGCTAACAGTTTCCATATTTTAACATTAAGAAAAACTTTAGTTCCTTTCAGATGTTTGTGCTAAGTGGACCTGCTTGGTGGAGCCTTAAACCTGGTTTGAGTTAGCTTAGAGAACTCTTGAATCAAAGGATGAAATGGGCCTACCAACTAATCAGGCTTCTGTTGTGGAGAACTGGGCTAAGCCTTTTACACATATGCTGAATTCACAGAGCTGGGCTTGGTGCCTGAGGGCTGCAGTGTAATATAGAATTGCTATTTCAGGAAAACCAGAGAAGTTCCCTTTTCTGTTTCACATATGTTGAGCTGATTGTCTTCCTTTATATTTGGTGAGAAATGGTATTTGATCTGACTTTTAAAAAAATTATCACTTAATACACACTTGGTTGTAAAGTTTCATTGTTTAAGTCTCTTCCCCCCTCTCCCCCCCGAGTTAATGACTAAGGCTATTACTATTGATTTTCATAGTTTGAGGTGGAAAAATGGAGAACAGTTCTGTAGTCGTTTTCTATTTGTTTTTTTGGGGGAAGATACAATTCTGGGAAGAGAGGCAGGCTGCCTTGGCATCAGTTTGGGACCCTGCTGTTGTGGACAGAATTGGCAGACATGAGAAATCCTTTTCTCTGTTGCCTTGGGTCTTCAGGTCCAAGGGGGTAGTTTTAAGAAATAGCATGCCATACTGAGAGCAAAATGATTGTACGGTGTGGTGAGGAAGTTCTGACTCTATGTCTGAGTTTGGGGTCCATACCTCTATTGATCTTTTTAACTATTTTCACAAAGTGGTTGTGGTTATTTGGAACGAGCAGCCTGGCTTCAGAAATCTCTGTCCATTTGAGTCTTGTATCTTTCACTCCTTAATATCTCCCCTGCTAACATCAGTCCTAAGGTTTTAGACCTTGCACTATACCTTCTGGCTTTTCCCTGGAAGTTCCCTCCATAGGTTCTTTAGTTGGTTGATGATGGAGTTTTGGATCTGACCTTGCTGCACAGATGTCTGTGTATTGGAACTAAAAATGAACACATGGTTTTTGTGCCTTAGCACATGAACAGACACTGGCTTATGACGTGTTGAAAATGGCACAGGCTGGCTGAGTTGGCACTGTGTGCTTTAGTAGGGGCAGAGGTAACTTGCGGCTGTAAAGCCTGGTATTTGGACATTCTTGTTTGGAAGTTACTCCAGAAAATTACACATGTAAGTCTTAAGGCATCAGTAGAGGAGATTAATGGACAAGGAAGGGAAGGCATTGCTATTTCATTGTTTATATTTTAGGTTTCAAGGAATTTGAAAAGTAGCCAATGGTTATATCAGTGTGTTGTCGGCCTGTCTAGTCTAATTCTTTTAACTCCTTTTATCCCACAGAGCTGTTGCCACACAGTTAGCATTTTCAGAGTGAGGAAGGACGGAGTCCTCTGTCTGTTACCTGCAGCACAGCAATGCTTAGCTGTCACAAAGGACAGCTTAGCCTCAAAGAAGACCTTTGCCTAAGGTCTCCTGCCACCCACTGAGGCATAGCCCCCCGAATCCTACCGCACCCCACCCCCAAGTCTTTTTGCTACTAAGATTCACATCGCCCACTAGCAGTTACAGTGGCTTAACTTTGCACCCTAATGCTTGTCAAGGTGATGTGAGGAGAAATATAACATGGGAATGAATTATAGAAAGGTTAGTTAAAAATGTTATCCCAACATTCATGCTTTAAAAAACACACACAGCACATCCAGCTTTTATCATTTTAAATGTTCCATATATACAAAAGGAGGTGTGTGTGTGTGCACTATAATAATAAGTGCATACCTAGGCAGTCATCTCTAAGCTTAGCAGATAGAATGTTATCAGTTACCTTTGAAGACCCCTGTGTGTTGTTTCCTGATTATATCTCCGCAGCTACTGTAACCACTGTCCTCAATTTTATGTTAATCATTCCCTTGCTTTGTTTTTTTAATCGTCATCTAGATTGGTCTTTTCATGAGTGACTGCCGTTAGAATGCTCCCAGGATCCTTGAGACAGAAACTGCTTTGGATTTTCAGTTAGAGGCTCCCGGAGAGAGAGAAACATTATTAGCCTTCCAGCCTCTCAGTCCCACCTCTCCAAGCTTCCAGCTCTGAGGCCCCTTATGTGCCAGGAAAAACCCACCCCAGGGCTCTTAAGTGACTCTGCCTGGGTTTCGATTCATATGTACTTCTTTTTCCAGATCCTAGAAACTATGATTTCCTTCTTCAAAATGCTGGGGGCGGGGGAGGAGACGCGGTGGAGTGAGAAGGCCTCCCTCCGCAAGCTGTGTGCGTTCGGGCACTGCCTCTCCAGGGCCTGGCACTGGAGAGATCCGTCCCCGGTAGGCAGATGGCGGAGTAATGCAGCTTCCTGTGAAAAGAGGCACGCAGCCAAGTGGCTGAGGTGTGAACCCTGTGAAGACCAATGCTTAGGTTTCTCCTTGCTGGGTTCCATGTACCATGGTTACCAAATAAAAGCCAGTTTGGAAGCTCTTCAGTCTTAAGTTCCTGTCCAGTGGAATTAACTTTCTATTTCAGCCCTCTGGAGTGTTGGGAATAAGCTGCAGACGGTCATGAGCAACTTTTATACACAGGAACTGTGCATGCTTGTGTCTTGTATGATGCAGCCATTTCTCCCATGGGCGCCGTGGATGGGCATTTATAATGGGCACCATCATTAGACTTCTTGAGTTTCAGCATGGAGGTAGGTTGCAGAGGACGGAATTCCGGAGCAAAGATCTAGCTTCTGGGCTATTTTTGTGTAAGATCTTTACAGTATGGTTTTAAACTTTTGTTTGAATTGAATTCTGAGAATCTCAAATATCTATGCTAAAACATAAATGCATAAAGATCTAAAATAAAATAATTTTAAATATGATTTTCTTTGCTTCACCTTTCTTACATTGGTGCAGTTGAAGTTTCATTTAGTCCTTTGGATGAGAATAATTTTGGAAGGTCAGCCAGCTACAAGGCCCAGAGTCAGGCCCTCAAGTCAGTGGTGCAAAGTTTGTTTTTATAATTATTTATTGTTGAAAGTATTACATATGACCGCCTTTTTCCCCATTGACCCCCTCCAACCTGTCTCTCCACCCGCCCCCCTGCCAAGCCTTCAGCACCCTGTTGTCTGTGTCCATGACTTAAGCATATATGCACACAAGGTCTTTGGTTGATTACCTCCCACCCACCTATTCTCCCCCGCCGTCCCCTGAGATTCCATACTTTTCCATGCTCCCATGACTCTGGATCCACTTCGTTCATCAGTTTATTTTGTTACTTATAATCTATTATACATATGAGTGCGATGTGATACTTGTCTTTCTCTGACTGATTTATTTCACTTAGCATGATACTCTCCAGGTCCCTCCATGCTGTCTCAGAGGGTAAGATATTCTCCTTTTTTTCTGCTGCCTAGTATTCCATGTATAAATGTACCACAGTTACCCACTCATCTGCTGTTGGACACTTGGGCTGTTTCCAAATGTTAGCTATTGTACATTGTGGTCCTCTGAACATAGGGGTGCATACCTTCTTTCTCATTGGTGCTTAGGGTTTCTTATAATATATTCCTAGAAGGGGGATTGCTGGGTCAAATGGTAGTTCGTGTTTAATTTTTTGAGGAAACTCCATACTGCTTTCCATAATGGTCGCACCAGTCTGCATTCCCACCAGCAGTGAACTAGGGTTCCCTTTTCTCTGCATCCTCGACAGCACTTGTCATTCGTTGATTTGTTGATGGTAGCCATTCTGACAGCTATGAGGTGATATCTCGTTGTTGTTTTAATTTGCATCTCTCTGATGATCAGTGATTTTATTTTTTCATATGTCTCTTGGCCATCTGTATGTCCTCTTTGGAGAAGTATCTAGTTAGGCCTTTTGCCCATTTTTTTGGTTCCCGTTTTTTAATTGCATTGTTTGTCTTCCTTTTGTTAAGTTGTATGAGTTCCTTTTATATTTTGGATATTAATGATATCAGATGTATCATTGCCAAATATGTTCTCCCATACAGTGGGCTCAGTGGTGGGAATTTTTTAAAAGACTAGTTTATTGAGGTAGGATTTATATACCACCTAAAATTCATCGTTTTTATGTGTTCTATTAATTTTTTAAAATATATTTTATTGATTTTGTACAGAGAGGAAGGAAGAGAGATAGTTAGAAACATCGATGAGAGAGAGTCATCGATCAGCTGCCTCTTGCACACCCTCTACGGGGATATGCCCGCAACCAAGGTACATGCCCTTGACCGGAATCGAACCCGGGACTCTTCAGTCCCCAAGCTGACGCTCTATTCATTGAGCCAAACCGGTTTCGGCTGTTCTATTAATTTTGATAAATAGTCATCATGACCTCTGTCACAATCAAGATGTAACATATTTTCATCACCTCCACAAGTCTTTGACTAGTGGTCGTCAGTTCAGTCATCCTGAGTGATTTTTAAAATAATGTGCACTGTTTTATTTATAAAATTTATCCTTATTACTGAAAGTATTGAACTTAGCACATTTCTAGCCAGAAAGTCTCTCTATTCACAGGAGATCTGGGGTTTTCCAGCTCGCTCCCTGGAGCAGCTTCCTGGGGAAGTCACAAGGAGAGCTGTGTGACTGGCAGTTCAGAGAGGAGAAGGGGCATCTGGTTTGGGTGCCAGGCAGAGCCCATAACATAGGGAAGCCCCCTTGTTAGTTGCTGGCTTTACCCCATGTGCATGTCTTTCGTGGTTGAAGATGACATGTGCGTCCTGCAGTGCTGGTCTCAAGCCCAAATATGTTCTCTGGTTCACTTTGGGACCTGCTCTCCTAGCAGCAGGCCCCAAGGGAAAGCACCTGGTCAGATAAGAGGCTTTTTCTTGGTTCCCACATGAAAATAAACTGTGCTTCTGACTTCCTCTAGAAATAGACTTGCTAATTACCACTCAAGGTGTTTCACTCTATGTGGTGGGTGAGGAGAGATCCAAAGGGATTTTTCATGCTTTTGTAGGGTAGTGAATTCTGTAGCTAGATCTATTTAAGGAATTGCCTTAATTATTTTATTCTCCCCCTTTAAATTTTAGGCTTTATTACAAAACTGTTGCTGATAATGACTGGGTTTGCTTTGTTTTTCAGTGCACATGGAATTGAGTATTGTAGCGATTTAACCACCCCCACCCCTTACTCTCTCTGTGCTCTTCACCCCCTAGGAAACCCAGGTTGACAAGAACTCAAAGTGCCTTTTCTCCGGTCTCCTTCAGCCCCCTGTTCACAGGTAAGGTGATCTTTTTCCCCCCCCTGACATCTGAAAGCAGGAGTGTTCTGAGACCTGCCAGGAAACAGAGCATTGCAGAGGGAGCTTCAGGCCTACTGTGCTTATTTTCTTCATTCCCTGCCTGCTGGGCTTGGGAGGGGCTGTTTTTATGGTGTAGAACGTGTTCTTGGCTTTGGATGCTTTATAGGTTGAGGAGTGACTGCTTGCTGGTAATTAAGTGACCCTGGCAGTTGTGCCGACCTTAGTTCAGAGTCATCACTTATAAATTAAAAGGAGGAATTACAAATTTATAGGCTCGCAATGCATGAAGGACTCCTAAGAAGTCATACAATTCCTGTCTCTGCCTCCAAGGGAGTTCATGGATTATCTAATAAACACGGCCCATGATTATCTAGTCTATTTTTAAAGACTTTGGGCAAAGGGGATTACATGAACTCTTGTCTTACCCATTTCAGGGGGTAGCAGTTCTTGCAGCTGTCCGAGTTCTTCATGGTGGCTAATTTAAGTCTATAATGTAACTGCAAGGAACACAGTTGCTAAAGTAGGAAAGCGGTTGAATGTCCTTTGGGCAACTGCCTTCTCTTTAATGGGGAACTTTTTCAGGGAGACCTTTTGTTGTGTCAGTCAGATGAGAAGCTCCTGCTTGAATAAGCTGCTTAAAAGAAGGTCTTTGGCACATTGCTTCAAGTCTTAGAAACTGGATGCTCATTGATTGTGACTGAGAAGATTTTAAAAAATAATTCCGATTTCAAACTCTTTTGGTGCTGTGTCCCTCAAAGAGATGATTGGAGGAATTGTGATTAGGGATAGACATTTCCAGAGTTAAGCAGGCTAGTGGGACCCCCGCCCCCAGCCCTTACTACATAGACAGCTATGAGCTGTCAGACAAGTGTGCTGGTACCTGTAATAGGCACAGGTGAAGAAGGAGATCTCTGTTTTTACCTCAAGCCCAGAATTAATCTTTTTAAAAAAATGTATTTTTATTATTTTTTTAATAGTGATTTTGGTAGTGTGGGTTTACATGCACAATCTCACATTCTAGTGATGGGGTGCTTGACAACCCATTCCTATCTTTCTTTAGTGTGGAGTTCCCTTTAAAAAAATTTTATATATGATTTCAGAGAGGAAGGAAGAAGAAATAGAAACATCAGTGATGAGAGAGAATCATTGATTGGCTTCCTCCTGCACGCCCCCTACTGGGGATGGAGCCCGAAACCCGGGCATGTGCCCTTGACCGGAATTGAACCCAGGACCCTCCAGTCTGCAGGCAGACATTCTTTCCACTGAGCCAAACCGGCTAGGGCCAGAATTAAAGAATCTTATCATGTAGTAATATGTCTTTCTGGTTAATAATTGTTTCCTCTCCAAGGTAAGGAACACCCAGATTTGAAGTGTTCTTGTTTCACACAGCTTAGCTCCTTTGAATTATATATTTTTATTGAGATATTATACCTACAACCTAGACCTCTCTGACCCTTCAGGAGGCACACTTGTCTGGGTTCATCGCATTGCTCTGGGCATCTAGGCTATCGGTTAAGCTCTGTGATGAGTCCAGTATGTACTGCAACTTCCACTGATGACTTTTAGAAGAGCTTTTCTGTATCTTAATCTATGATCAAGAACTTTGTAAAAAACAAACAAACAAACAACAAAGTCAAGACTGTGTATTAGGTTCTATTAGAGACATTGGTCTTTAATAATAATAAAATCTTGCTGAGGGGATAATTGAGCCTCCTGCATAAGAAAAAGATATTGGAAATAACACCCTCAAATTAGAGAAATCCCGAGTTTTGACCTATTTTTGGCTGTCAACCTTAGTTAAAATACCCTTCATCCTCTGGTAACTCCACGGAGAGAGAGGAGCCAGGGCTGGGCGGAATGTATACGGCAGAGAACAGGACTGCGTCACATGCTGGGAAGTAAAGAGAAACCACATGTCATCTTCCTAACCTCCCACCCCCAATCAACTTCCTACTGAGAAGCTTCCTCGTAGCTAACCTGACTCTTGGCTGGCTGTGGAAGTAGTTAATTATTAGGGTTGTAAATGTACTTTCCAGCCTTTGTAGCCTTAGCTATTAGGAACTAATTCATATCTGAAATGGGTTCTCTTATGAATGAATAGTCTGAAAACTAGACATGGAAAGCCGTTTAGGAAGAAGTCAGGGCTAACCTTGGGACTTTATTTGCATGCAGTGTACCATGCAGCTCTTACATTTTTGGCACTTGCTTTCTATGTCCACTTGGACTTGTAACAAGCTGTTTGCCTTGCTCCCTAAGGCAGAAATTAGTGTGCAATAGATGGTGTGGTTTCCATTTGAATAAAGAAGATCACTTGGTCAAGGTTATATTGTCAGTGGCAGAATCACAATTAGTTGACTTTCCCACTGTCAAGTCCATGTTTTCATCCTTAAAGAATCCTTGACCATTAAGATGGTAAAGAAATGATAGCATTTAAAATTGACTTCCCAGGTGGTTAGGGGGTGATTCCAGCCCTGGGAGCATTAGATTTTGAGCTTGTTGAGAGCCAGCGACTAACTTCCTTCGCTTGCCCTTTGCTTTCCTTTGCTCTGGCCTCCGCTTTGGGCAAGGTGTTCTCTAACACGCCTGCTCCATGAATCCCTCAGGTGAGACAGTATCGCTTGTGGATGTGGACATCTCTCAGCGGGGCCTGGCCTCTCCGCACCCTCCAACTCCCCCTCCTCCTCCGAGAAGAAGCCTCAGCCTCCTAGGTACAGTCTCCTCCACTCTACCTTCTTGCTGTAGTGGGAGTGGGAGTGCTTGGGTCTGTTTTCTTTGCCAGGAGTCAAACAAGCTCCTGGGTTTCCAATGATAACCAGTTATTCCCTGTCCCTTTCTCAGCACCCTGTCTTACCTGCATGCTATTACAGCATTTATTATCCATATGTTGATTAGATCTGCATTTATCTTACCCTGAATCTACAGCTAGTGGGCTGCTTTAAGAATAGCCTTACTCTCCTGCAGAGGAAGCCAGATTCAGATGATTGTTGCCCTCTGAACAGAAAGATAGGGTGAAGGTCAGGCCACCTTGCCCCAGCGGGCAGCCTGATGACCCTTCTCCATCTCCTCTGCTTCACCTTGCCCAGTCTGTGCTCATATTTCTGAATCTTTTGCTTTTGTTCTCTCTTCTAGATGATATCAGTGGGACGCTGCCTACATCTGTCCTTGTGGCTCCGATGGGGTCTTCCCTGCAGTCTTTCCCCCTACCTCCGCCTCCTCCACCCCATGCCCCAGGTTAGCTTAGCTTAGAGACAAGACTTGCAAGAGTTGGGAGTACAAATGATAAACTTTTTGAAGGATGGGAGAAATCTATTTATGGAAATAACAGAACTTATGAGAAAGCTTATAGAACTCCTTGAAAATGAGGCCAAGAACTGATTTTTTAACCTGTTTTTATTTATGGAGTTGAATTTGATTTTTGTTAGAGATAAAAGACTATTGAATTTTTTTCGTCTTTTCCCCACTGAGACTTTGGTTTTTTAATCTTTGAGTAGACATCTCTGAGGAAACTAGTTTAATTTTAGGACAATGAGGAGGTTTAATATATTGCTGGTTTTCAAAGTTCTGTGGTTTTTCTAAGCTTTTAGTACTGACTCTGCAGCCTTGTAAATATGTAGCAAGCATTTAGTAGCCCATACCTGCTTTGCCAGCCTCCAGTACCCAAGGAATAAAATGAATAAAATCGGCATTTTTTTCTACTTGCCTGGCAAAATGGTTACACTTCCTGGGCAAGTAAGCGAGGCACTATTTCCAAGGCTGCTTTACCGGCACTTCACCTCGAGGTGTGAGAAGTTGGAATCACTCTAGGCTGGTGAAGGCCCTGAAGTAGTCACCTTAGTCAGGTTAGTGAGCAGCTCCCCACCCCCTTCCTGGGGTTCAGTGCCCTCACCCATCCTTCATAGCTTACACAAGCCCACACAGCTCTTGTCCCCGCCCATCAGCTCCTTCCTGCTGCTTTGGCTCTCACCCTTCCAGCTTAGCTCCTAATGCCTTGCCCTCTTCAGTTAGCATCTGTTTTGGGAGGAGGGTGTACTGTGGTTGGGAGCATTGAGGGTAAGCAAGTGACCACCACTCTCCCGCCTTACAGATGCATTTCCAAGGATTGCTCCTATCCGAGCAGCTGAATCCCTGCACAGCCAGCCCCCCCAGCACTTCCAGTGTCCCCTCTACCGGCCCGACTCGAGCAGCTTTGCAGCTAGCCTTCGAGAGTTGGAGAAGGTAGGCAGCACTTGAGCACTGGAGGCTTTCCTCCTCTTCCACTCCCTAGTTCTGTATCTGACTCCCTTTTTATTATTTTTAGAGGGAGAGTAGTTTCCTCATCTCTATGTTTATAGTGACAAAGCAAGATGCTTCTGTTATCAATTGCATAAAATATATTGTAAAATTGAAACTGGGGCTTGGGGGGACCTGGAATTGAATATGATAAGGAAAGGCGTGGAGAAATGTTTACTTAGTCTAAACTGATCGTAGCAGGTTAACTGATTCCAGTCCCTCTTCTCTTCTTTGAAGAGCCGTGGTAATGGAATTGTAGAATTCTCCTTCTGCTTTGGAGAGTTAAAAGTATACTGAGCCTGATGTTTATTGCTCTTACAGCTTTTCCCTCCTGAAATGTTTGGAAGTGGGGTTCTCCTGTGGTAAGCTCGATTGTGCTGAACACTGACATTTCTCTGTTCTGTTAACCACTTGACCCCTTTGTATCTTTGATAGTGTGGTTGGTATTGGGGACCAATGAATTGGGAAGATGCAGAGATGAAGCTGAAAGGGAAACCAGATGGTTCCTTCCTGGTACGAGACAGCTCTGATCCTCGTTATATCCTGAGCCTCAGTTTTCGATCACAGGGTATCACCCACCACACTAGAATGGAGCACTACAGAGGTAAGAGGTGCTAGTTTTGGGGGAAGCCTTTCTCTGCCTTTGCTATTTGACTTTTTCATAGGAAGGGCTCATAGAAATGGAATTGTGAAATGGAGAAAGAATCTCAGAGTCAATTGAATGCTGATGTGGGCACTGATTTCAGTCACAAAGAAAAGTTGGCAGGGGTAAGGATGAGAGTAAGGGTTCCATTTAAAAGTATTTTCAGCATCTTGTTTCCTAAATAGGAGGGCCTAAACAAGACTAGTGAAGAACAGAACAAAGCCAGTAAAACTCTCTTGGTAAAAAAAGAAATAACCCAGACAAATTCTCTCAAACTTTGTTCATAATTAAACTTAACATTTAGAGATAATTCCTATTAAATCATATGGATGGAAAGGAGACGAGTGTTGATGCTGGACTGTTCTGTTCTGAATTTCTTTGCCTGATCGTACATCAGCTCTTCTGCCAGTCAGCATGGTGATGATAATTCTCTCTTGGTCAACTTTGTAGTCTCTTAGGAAATAGTCATCAGTACTCCAAGAGTCTGTGAAATCAACTTGCTTTGTGGACTGTCTACCTGCTTCCCAAGTAGTTATGGTCTGTGTGGTCATGCTGTGCTTCATGTCGCCGCCATGTCTGGAAGGTGACTTGTTTAACACCACTCTGGATTAACTCTGCAGCAGGCATTCTGCTTAACTTGGGCCAGAAACTTGTGACATCATTGGTGGTAGGACTGGATGATATATCACTTGTTGAAATACCTGCATATGCTATAAATTTTAAAAGTGTAGAGAACTTTGGGGAGTTTTAGGGAATTGCCTCTCCCATCTCTCACACTCTTCCCGTGTGTGACCACCTTAAGTGAGCTGTGTTAGACATCCATCTCTGCTCTTCTGAGGCACCACCATGTCTTTTCTGCCTCCAGCCGTGTTCTGCTGGATTTATTTGGTTTGCTTCTCTCGTGAGGCAGGAAGTAGCTGTTTAGGTCAGCATGGTTTCCTCTGCCTCCACCTTTGTCTTAGAGATGCAGGAAGAGAAAGGAACTCCGGTCTAAAGATCTGAGCATTAATTAGCTAGATCACTGTGGGATAGACTACTGCCTATTTTCCTGCTGTTTCTAAAAGCAAACATCAGACAAACAAATGCAAAACAAAGCATTTCAGAGGGAAGTATTTTTTTATTTTTTTTATTTTTTAATTTTTTATTTTTAATATATTTAATTGATTTTTTTTTTGCCCCCCTCCCTCCCTCCTATACATACCCTCCCTCCCCAGAGTTTTATGTCCATTGGTTGTACTTATATGCATGTACACAAGTCCTTCGGTTGATCTATTATCTCCCCCAGATCTTCTCCCCTCCCCACTGTAATTTGACAGTCTACCTGTTGCTTTACTGTTTCTATATCTGTCTCTTGGTTCATCAATTTATAATGTTCTTTATCATCCACAAATGAGTGAGGTCATGTGGTGTTTCTCTTTCATTGATTGGCTTATTTCACTCAGCATGATGTTCTCCAATTCCATCCAGGTTGCTGCAAATGATGAGAATTCCTTCTTTTTTATGGCAGCATAGTATTCCATTGTGTAGATGTACCATAGTTTTTGGATCCAATCATCTGCTGACGGGCACCTAGGCTGTTTCCAAATTCTGGCTATTGTAGATTGTGCTGCTATGAATATAGGGGTGCATATATCCTTTCTGATTGGTATTTCTAGTTTCTTGGGATATATTCCTAGAAGTGGGATTACTGGGTCAAATGGGAGTTCCATTTTCAGTTTTTTGAGAAAACTCCACACTGTTCTCCACAGTGGTTGCACCAGTCTGCATTCCCACCAGCAGTGCACGAGGGTTCCTTTTTCTCCGCAACCTCGCCAACACTTGTTGTTTGTTGATTTGTTAATGTTGACCATTCTGACAGGAGTGAGATGGTACCGCATTGTTGTTTTGATTTGCACCTCTCGGACAATTAGTGACTTTGAGCATGTTTTCATGTGCCTTTTGGTCTTCAGAGGGAAGTATTTTTATAAACCCATTTTAAAATAAATGACTAGGCTATGGGAATAAATGTTTGACCTCTAGATTCCTGATAGTGAGATGCCAGGAATGAGAGAGTTCTTTTAAATGGTTCTCCAGTTACCTTTTATTCAAAGGGACTTTTATTTCTTGAATAAATGGAATTTTTAGTAGAAGCCTTGTGGGCCTTTTAGTTGCCAGTTTGCAATGGAGCATTTGTCTTTGTCGTTTTAAGTGATACTGTAAGAGTAGCTAGCGAGACTCAGATCCGCAGTTTTCTTGAGTGATTTAGTTTCCCCTTTGTGGGTGATTCTTTTGGATTTAGAGCTTTAGTTGTTTTGTTTGAAGTCCTGGGAGTTCAGATTCCCATTCACCTTTGGGATCTTGAAGTTTGGGGTGGGATCTTTGTAACATGTTAGGGCATAGAATTTTAGAAGTTAAAGGAAAGACTTAGAATTTGATTTTTTTTGTGCCCAACACATACATGAATGGGTAGTACTCACAAAACCTCTCTTCTTGTCTTTCTTCAGCTGTCCCATGAATACTTGAAGACTTAGGTCTTTTTGAGGGGAATGTCATTTAAACTCGCTTTTGCTGTGGCAATCTTTTTTTTTTTTTTCCCAATTACAGTTGACATTCAATATTAGTTTCAGGTGTACAGCATAGTGACTGCACATTTATATAACTTACAGAGTGATCCCCTTGATAAATCTAGTATGTACCTGACACTGTACATAGTCAGTCTCTCTCCCTCCCCCCCCATATATATATATATGGATTTTTTTCCCATTACTTTTTCATGGAATGGGAGGGAGGAAGGAGGGGAGGGGGAGAAAGTAAGGGAGAGGGATGTATGTCCTCTTTGGAGAAGTGTCTATTCAGGTTCTCTGCCTGCCTTTTATTTTACATATATAGCAATCATGAGAAAAAAATCATTGACTGCCTGCCTGCTTTTTAATTGGATTTGTTAGGGGGTTTTTTGCTGTTGAGGTGTGTTGTGTGACTTTATAAATTTTGGATATTAATCCCTACGGGATGTATCATTGGTGAATATCTTCTCCCATTCAGTAGGTTGTCTTTTTGTTTTGTTGATGGTTTCCTTTGCTATGCAAAAACTTTTTAGTTTGATATAGTCCCACTTGTTTATTTTTTCTTTTCTTTTTTCCTAAGGAGATATATCAGAAAAAAATATTGCTAAGAGAAATTAAAAAAGGTATTTTTATATCTTTTTCCTGACTTGAATTTATTATTTACTTTAACAAAAGCCTTGTAAGACCTAATGTGTGTCTTATTAAAGGCAATGTCTTTCTTTCCATTAACTATAGAACAAGTATAGGGCAAGTTCAGCTTGCCCATAAAGTCTTGCCCTCCGAAACATAAAAATGTGCAAACCCGCTTCCCATATCTTTTGAAAATGTTTTACATTTTTACCTCTTCTTAATGTTTACTGGTAGGAACCTTCAGCCTCTGGTGTCATCCCAAGTTTGAGGATCGCTGTCAGTCGGTGGTGGAGTTCATTAAGAGAGCCATCATGCACTCCAAGAACGGGAAGTTTCTCTATTTCTTGAGATCCAGGGTTCCAGGTATGGCTGTGGCTGTTATAAAATTATTCAACTTACTTGGGCATAGTCCAATATAGAATCAAAATGCACCTCCCACCCCCACCAAAAAGGCCATACTTGCTTAAAGCTTTTTTCTTGGCTCTTAATAGGAAACATTCTTTCTAGAGTCCAGAGGTTAGTCCCCTACCCTTGTACATTAATCCCTCAGCATCTGGGAAGGAACCTTTGCTTCTTTAACCACATGAGTGAGAAAACGGAACCTTCCTCTGCGGTCCAGGCATCATGTGCATATTTTGCACTCTGAGAGGTCTCCTTGTCCCTGATCCAGGCATCTTACACTTCATGTGAAACAGAGGTGAGAGCTCTCAGCTCATTTCCACGGAACAGGGAAGGTAAAAGAGTGTTCACTAGAAAGACAGTGGTGAGGGCCGAGAATAGGTTCTCCGGAGTGAAATCTGGTAGCTGTAGTTCTGCAGGTGGAAATCTGCAGTCTTTGTGGAGGCACAGAACACAGGTGAACTGTAAGGAAGCCGTTTCCTTTCCCTGGACTCTTCATAAGGGAAGACAGCTGCATTGTTCCTACTGAATATTCCTCTTGGTTTCCATTCTTGAAGGACTGCCACCAACTCCAGTCCAGCTGCTCTATCCAGTGTCCCGATTCAGCAACGTCAAATCCCTGCAGCACCTTTGCAGATTCCGAATCCGACAGCTCGTCCGGATTGATCACATCCCGGATCTCCCACTGCCTAAGTGCGATGCGGTCTGGGGCTGGGGCAGGAAGGAGGGCTACTTAAAAATGTTAGCGAGGCTGCAAGCCAATTCACAGGCAGGCCTGGCAGGTTCACTGGCTTCACTTCTCCTTTGTCCTGACGTTGTTCATTGCAGCCAGAGGGAGGAAGGTGTGTGTCAGTCTCTGAGAAGGTAGAGGGAAGGAGACAGAACTATAATAAGTGAGAAAATGGGAATTTTGTTAGGGTGGCAAAGTCTTTGGTGTAGTCTCAACCATATAGGGATTGAAAAGAAGGAAGAGTTGAACAAAGGTGGTCTTTCTTTTCAATCTACATAAATGGCACTTGTGTGTATTCCTCTTATGTTTCTACAGACCTCTGATCTCTTATATCCGAAAGTTCTACTACTACGACCCTCAGGAAGAGGCGTACCTGTCTCTAAAGGAAGTGCAGCTTACTTCCAGACAGAAGCAAGAGGTGGAGCCGTCCACGTAGCGAGGGCCCTGCTGGTCACTACTGGGGTATGAGCTCTCTGCCTCTCGTCCAGCCATGTCTTCCTGGGCAGTTGTCATCATGCATGGGCCTTGTCCTCCCTCTCTCCTCCCCCTGCCATCCTGTGTGTATCCAAACATCTGCCCACAGTTACCACATCCGATAACAGAGTCCCCAAAGGGGCACCCCAATTGGAAAAGAGCAGGTAGACAGGGAGACTTAAAGAAGAATATGTTTGCCAGTAACGTGCAGGCTAACTACTGGAAATGAAGAAGGAGAAGGACACACGTGTAACTAAGTGTTCAGCCTTCTCTCATACTGCGGCTGAGCTCCCTGATGCTGCACAAATGATGTGCAAAGCTGGAAGCCAAAATGGAAGGAAGGAGTCTTCATCAAAGGAAACGCAGACATGCCTTTAATTGCAATAGAAATACACTTCAAGGAGAGCTCCACTGTGTCCCATGGCTCGGAAAGGGGTAGAGGAAAAACAGCTCCCTCTTCCCTTTAGAGATCCCTTTAGGCCACTGAGAAGTAAATGGTTCAATAGAATGAGTGAATTAATGAAGGAATTCATTTATATAAGAAGCTATTCTCCCATTCTACACTAAGTCCTACTCATTTGTTTTCCCATAAAATGTCATGGAATGCTGGTTTGTGCAGATGAGTTCTAATTAGTCTTTTAAATTTCATTAAAGTGAGCATTGAAAAGTAGCGGTGAGTAGGGACCAAATTCCCACAGAATAGTGATTTTGGTAGTGTGGGTTTACATGCACAATCTCACATTCTAGTGATGGGGTGCTTGACAACCCATCCCCATCTTTCTTTAGTGTGAAGTTTCCTTAAGAAAATAAGTAAATCATGCCGGAACCGGTTTGGCTCAGTGGATAGAGCCTCGGCCTGCGGACTGAAAGGTTCCGGGTTCGATTCCGGGCAAGGGCATGTATCTTGGTTGCGGGCACATCCCCAGTAGGGGGTGTGCAAGAGGCAGCTGATCGATGATTCTCTCTCATCGATGTTTCTAACTTTCTATCCCTCTCTCTTCATCTCTGTGAAAAATCAATAAAATATATTTAAAAAAAAAAAAAAAAAAAAAAAGAAAATAAGTAAATCATATATATATATATATATATATATATATATATATATATAATTGATTTCAGAGAGGAAGGGAGAGGAAGGAAGAAATAGAAACATCAGTGATAAGAGAGAATCATTGAATGGTTGCCTCCTGCAGGCCCCCTACTGGGAATCGACCCCACAACCCGAAACCCAGGAGTGTGCCCTGGCCCTGGCCCTGGCTGGGAATTGAACTGGTTCATAGGTTGACGCGTAGCCACTGAGCCACGCCTGCCAGGCTCAGCTCCTTTTTTAATCCCTAGAGTCCTAGTAGGTAGGCCTCGGTGGAAATAGGTGGAAAATTAAGGACTAAGGGAAATGGAAAGAGGGAAGTTAGAACCAGTTTTTGGCATTCCGGTTGTAGGCTACTCAGGCCTCCTGACAAAGGCTGTTGCTGCATCCCCCGCAGCTACAGTGTTTGTGGGAGTGCTTGGCTCCGTTCTTCTTTTGAGCTATACTCCAGAGGCTGGGCTATTCCTTCACTCTGTTCTGGTTCCATTCTGTTGAACCACTCTAATTTTTTTACCTCTCCTCCCCCCTAGGCATTTGGTTGCCAAGCTCCAGTTTTGAAGAACCAGATGAAGGTATCATGAAAAGAGGAGTGAGAAAAAACCAAGAGGAAACAGGAAGGATTGGGATCCTCTGTGCAAAGACTTTGGTGCCCCTCACCACCCTGGGGCTCGGAAGAAGCACACAACCACACTGTCTGAGTGAGGCTCCAACCTTCCCCATCCTGCCATCTGGTGTCTTGGAACTGGATGAGCTCCTGGAAAACTGGAAGAAGTCTCAACACTGTTCCTTTTTTTGGATATTTGTTTTGGATATTTACATTTCTTGGTATGGAAAACTCAAAGGCAGCTGGGTTTCGCGCCCATTGGATTGGAAGTGGTGTGAAGGGTGAGCAGGTCCAAAGGAGGACTGGGGAGGGGATTGCCAGTGCCGGTCAAACAGCTGGTGCCAAAGGCAGAGTGCGAGTCTTCACCATTGACCTTGAAGAAGGGGAGAGAAGGAATCAAGTGCAGATCAAGTTAGAGTTTCTGAAGGATGAGAATCTGCTCCTCTTTAAGCATATGTAGCATCACTAGGAGCAGGGAAGAAAGGAGGTGGGTGGTCTCGGGAGATGACTGCACAGAGACTGGCAGATGGCCTCTGCCGGGGGAAGTAGTGACTCCTTGAATCCTTTTAATTTAGGAACCTGATTTTAGAATCGCCTCTCACAGAAGCTGGATTTGTTTTATTTAATTTTTAAGCTTTGTGACCTCAAGTTAACCTCGTTCTTCCTCCATCCTCAACCTGTTCCCCAAGATAACTGTACATTTCACTCTGGTCATGGTCACGTCATTCCTATTGCTTTCGCCAGCTGTCAAGGCAATAGTTTTTTTCATCACCTGAGCAGTAGCACTCCAATCATGCTGCTCAAGTTAATGGAGCATGCCTCCAGATTCTTAATGGCAAACCGTACCCATGACTTAGGAGCCAGTGTTCCTTACCTCCAGATGTCTGTCAGCTAATGAGAGGGACTGGAGGAAGGCTGTGAAACGAAGCTATCATGGTTGTGCTCTTCCTGCAGAAAGCTCTCTGGTGTCAGCCATAGCAGGATGTCCTTAGATCAGAGAGGAGGAGGGCGCCTCGTCTCGTGGTTTATCACTGTTGTCCCCCTTGTGGAAAGGCTTAACTTCCCTGTGTTCTTTCTGGCAACCCAGACATTTCCCAGAGTCAGATCCTGTTTGCCCTCCTTTCGTTGGGATTCTGTCAGATGCCGATTTCAGAGTTGCCAGTCTTCCAGTGGACGTGGGAAGGAGGAAGACAAACTCCAGTGTTTTTCAATGGTCCTCAATTTTCTCTGAAGCAGGCCATTGTCAGATCATGTAAGATTATGCGTTTGCTTTTATGTAGAGTTACTCTGGGGAAAGGTTTGCTACTAAAATGTGAAAGTTGAGCTGTTTGGTCTTTACTACTCTTTTGCAGTAGTGTTCCATTAGACTGCCTCTTTTGCTTCCCCTGTGCTTATCTGTCTCATCTCATTAGATAAAGTACTGTCAGGTCTGTGGTTTCTTGATGGCTTGGGGTGAGGCCCAGTGATTTTGGGCCTCACCCATAGCTGAGCAGGGAGGAAATGTGCATTGTTACTGGCCTGTGAAGAGGTGGCCCACAAAAGGAGCTGTGAACCATAAACACAGCCCAGCCTCTGGCTTGTTAGAAGGTACCTCTTTCTGGTTTCCATGGTAGTATTACCAATCAGTTAAGACTGTGACCCCAGAAATGGACTTGACCTGTGAGTCTTTCTTCTTGAGGGTACAGATTAACTTGCCATCTTGCAGAAAGTGCCACCCTCACCCCCACCACTGTGGAGCCTGAAGACTGGAATCCATTGGGATCCTTGCGTGGCTGGTGTGCAGCTACCTGGGATTTTAAAAAAAAAAACCATTTTGGCTATAATTTACAAACTATTCTTAGTATTTGTTTGCCTGGCTCTGGGCTAGATATTGAGGAAAACACAAGAAGTGGAAGACATGGTATCTGGCCTTCATGGCCTTTTAGATGACTGCCCCCCAGGAAGCAATTGGAGAATGAGGCCCATGTTTAAAGAAATTCGGAGTGGTAAGATCAGGGTAGACAGATGGTGTAGGAAAGCTGAGGCGGGAGGCTTTGGATCGTGGGCGAGGGCAGGACAATAAGCTGAGAAACACAGGAGCCAGAAGCACGGAGGCAGAGATCTGCATGGTGCACGGAATGAGCAGTGCACAGCCCCACGCAGAGCGCAAGCACCTCAGAACCATCCTCAGTGCGTGGTCTAGACCGGAACTTCCAGGCATGGGCAGATCTGACTGCTGAGGGCTTAGGATTGGGTCCAAGGCCAGAAGCCCCCTGGGTTCCTGCCCATGGCCAAGGACCTCACTGCTCTCAGGGCAGCCTGGAGGAGGGAGGCAGCTCCCGGACCCTCTGTGGTGCCAGGGTTTCTGTTAGAGATTTCCTGTGCTCAGGTCCAAACCCTCTGAGGAAGCCCCACCTCACCCCACCTCCTCCCTTCTGCGAAGGACGGTTTTTATCTGTGTCCGAGATCTGTCTGTGTTTAGTCACAGCCCAGGCTGCAGCCTAGTCCTTCCTCAGGAGGGTGGGCTAAAGACAGAGGAGTGCAAGGGCGACAGGCTCCACCAGACGTGGAGGAAGAGGTGTGGCAGAGTAAGCTGAGCAGGAGCAGCGAGCCTGTGGTCAGCACTCCCCTTCATCTCTGTCTGGGCCCACCCCCTCCTCTGCCAATTCTGGAATGCAGTCTGCGGAGGGTGCTTACTCCTTTTTGGTCGTATTTTAAAGTCACAAACTGGAAAAGGCTCACTCCTAGTGACCCCTCACTGATAGCTCAGTGTGGGGCCAGTCCCCTGAGGCCCTCCACACCTGAGGGAGCCTGTTTCCCCGCCCACTCCTCTGGAACCTTCCTCACTGTGAGCTAGCGACAACTACTGCTACAACTCGCTACTACTTGAAACTCTGTGCTGGGGTAGGAGCCATGAGTAAGGAGGGTCGGGGGTTGGTGTAGGGACTAGGTAAATGGGTGACGCTGGGAGTTTGGGACCATTGGCGATGACCTTGGCCTGGTCTGCCTGTGCCTCTTACAGTGAATGTGTATTCACTGGAGTCTGAGCCGAGGACTGCACCCATCAGCCTCCCGTGAGGAAAAGCATGGCCTGAGCTCACCCCAGCCTATGCTCCTCTGCCTCTTTTCTGCTTTTCATTTAGTGATTTTGCAGGCCCCTCATTAAGGTGGGAATGATAAGATAGCCTCGAACACCCATGTAGTGCACATCCAGGAAGAACTGGGAGCAGGGAGGGCGGCCAGTGGTCCCAGATCTGGGTGTGAGACTGGAGTGGAGCTGATGCCCTGGGGTGGTTGCTTATTCCGCTTCACCCAGAGCCCCCGGAAGAGCTGGGCCTGCTAGGAGCCCTCAGGGCTGGGGGGGGGGGTGGACTTTTCCCTTAGGTTCCATCTGTCTGCCTGCTGCCTCTCCCTTGGCCTTGAGCCCTGAGCTTGGAGTACTGGGCGCTGGGAGAGCCCTGTAGCTGCTGGTGGCAGTGTGAGAGTAGCGTGTACATGTGTGAGTGTGTGTGTCTTCATTTGTGGAAGTCTTGTCACCAATTGGGGTGTTGAGAGCATCTCCATTGTGGGGAGACTTGCCATTTTTCCCCCCCACTTTTAAGAGAATGACATGCCCCCTGTCCGTAAGGGAGGAGCTTTTGAGTTAGACATTTTCCCTATGGGAATCCTCTTGGTTTTGTCTTGTGGGGAAGGGGGGAACAGATGAATGATTTTTATCTCTTAATTGTCAACACAGCTGTTCTTACACTGAATTTGTGCTATTGCATACATGTAGCCATCTTTCTTTTCACTGCAGCAGTGTTTATTAGTAGTTCAAAATGATTTATTTGCTCCTGGGGAGTAAAACCTTTTTTATTAAAAAAAGAAAAAGACAAAAAAAAGTGACCCGCCCCCATGATCGCGATCAGATTATTGGGCCACAAAGCTCGAGAAGGCAGAGGCAGGTCTGCCAGCCGCCTGCCCTGCCCTGTTTGACATGGGAGCCTTCCTGTCAGCACGGAATGACGGGAGCCTGCAGATGGAGGGCAAAGCCTCGGGAAGATGGGGTTGGACCGCAGAGACGGGCACTGGGGACTCGGGTGCTGCGGCTAGAAAAATAGAATAATGAATTGTATTTAAAATATTGACTAATCTGCCAGAGAAAGACCTTTCTTTACATGCAGATTCTATGTTGTCTTTGTCCTTTTTATCCCTTCTTGACCTTCCTTGGTGTAGGTGCTGTCCATTTCTTTCCTGTTTCCTTCCCATCCTTTCCACCCCCTTCTTCCATCTCTTTCCCGTCACCTCGACCTCCCGGAAAGCCAGTCCTGCATGCTGAGTCTGTGACTTGCCTTCACAACCATTTCATCTCATTTTGAGGACACCTGGAACTGCTCCCTCCCCGTCTCCCAGCCCCCCTCCTCTGCATCAGGGGGAGGCAAAAGGCAGCCAGCCAGCCGTGGCGGAAGACATGCATGTCTGGTTGCAGCTGGACTGCGATCTCATAGTTGCCCCTGGAAATAGAGTGCAAGGAAAGCTTAGGGCACTCTTGATCAGAACCAGGGTAAACCCTAAGCCCCTCCCCAGCTCAGGTGGAGCGGAGGCTGGTCTGACTGCTCCATCCTTGGTGCTCCGCCCAACAGGGACCCTCCCTCGCTGTTAGGCCCAGAACCTGTTCCAAGGGACAGCGTAACCCAGGCACCAGGCTGTGGGCAGGCCAGGTATTGGAATGCCCAGACTGGTGCTGCCTGCGGCCTAGCCACTGCTTGCTTTCTGTGGTTATTTTTAAGAAGCTCGAGGCAGGTGTCATTCTGTGCCCGAGTAGTTGCCGATTATTCACCAAAGGGGAGCCACACCCCCTGCAGCCACTTCTGTCCTTCAGCCCCACCTGCCGCCCGTAGCCCTGCCTCCTCCAAGCCAAAGCTGGCCTGGCTTCTATCTTCCCCTTTGGTTTTCCTCCTTTCCTCTCCCTTTTTGGGCTTAATTTATTAAAATAGTTACTGTATAATTTATTTTCATAAGCTATAAAAAATTACTAAATGGTTTAAAATAGACTTGCAGGCCAATCTTAAATGGGGTGGGAGGGGCTAAGGGTGGGGTGGGCAGAGATGTTTTGATATAAATGAAACAAATGCACTTTGGGTGTGTTTTGGTATTTTTCTGGGCTAGAGGGGGTGGGTGGGATGTCCCTGTAGATTAGGTCCAGAATGGGTTGTCTGTATATATTGTATTAATAGGCATGATTGATTCTTGTAAAGGGACATTAGTAGCTGCTGCAGGTCCTGTTTGGAACCCCATGTACAATTCCCAGTTTTTGTAAGTGTCAGTGCGGGAGACATTTGACTCTTGTGTTTGTATCTCCTTTTTATGGTTGCTGTACTGACCCATGTCTTTTTGGGGAGGGGTGAAAAGAGATTTGAAATAAAAATGTTTAGAAATTATTTCATGTTATTCGAGTGTGTGGTTTTCAGTCCCTCTCCCATCTCATATGACGCCTCACACCATACCCCCTAAGGTCAGATGGCCCATCTTAGGGATTGGGGGACCCCTGTGATGTCAGTCAGCTAGAGCGCATCCAGAACCGGGCTTGTCGGAGTTAAAGATGTGGAAAACGTATTTTGAGTCTGATGACCGCTGCTCAAAGCCGCCTTCTCCTTCCTTAGGACATGCAGGAGCTTTCCCATGCCTCAGCCTTTGTGCTCGGTGAGCAGTGGTGTGTGTGGGCTCATGCTTTATCTTAAAACATAGTCATTCCTAGTATCTAGCTAGGCTGGCAGCCAAGGTTCTTTCATACGTTTATCTGTATCCCTCTGCCTTTCTAGCTCATTTCCTTGAGCTGTCCTCCTTGGGGAGAAAAAGTTCATGTGTGTTTCTCTGACAATTGTGTGTACTTGGGCCACTCAAGTCTCTCCTCACCTTCCCACCCAGCCCATCGCCAACTTCCCCACTGAGGGGGCCAATATACCACCTCGGCCCCTTTGGGGAATTTTCTGCAAACTTGCTGCATCCTCAGTGGGGGAAGCATGCTGAGTAAAATAAAACCAGAGTTCTCAGAAGTTGCATTTCCTACGGACTAGACGTGCCTCAAGGAGGGAGGCTGGGAATCCCCGGTCCCATCAGCTCACAAGTCCCAGGTTCGAGGTCAGATGAAATATAGCATGTCAACGACAGCATTAACTCCAGATTGAAGATCTCTCTCCTTTTGGAAGAAAAGGTGCTCCGAGCTACGAATTGTGAGCAGCATTACAAGGGAACATGCTTAACTCAGAATCAGCAATTCATGTGCTCTAATGACCAGCTACCAGTTGGACACAGTTGGTCAATCGGAATCTTTGTGCATCTCTGAAAGTAGATTAGTTCCAGAATGGGTTGTCTGTATATATTATTTTCATCACTTCAAATTGGCATCATTCATATTGGGATTGGTTTGTTTGGAAAAAGGTACTAGTCTCTTCTGATTTGGGTGATAGAGCCATTGAAGGAAAGGCATTCTTTTGGAAACAGGGGACCCAAAATTAAACTACCACCTCCTATCCCCTTTATCCCTCAAGCCTGAAACCACCACTTCATCTCCTGTGTTCTCCTTTTAACCATCACTTTAATTCTCTCACAAAAGCTGTTCCATCTCTCCTCTCAGTGGTGTCTCCTACACATACTTAACTTACTTGAATTCAATTATAAGCGTGTGGCAGATAACAATAGTGCAGGGATTTCCCCTCCGTTCCTTTGTGTGTCCGCCTGATCGAAGACAGGTAGGAAGTGAATGTTGGTTTCCTCCAGCCTCTCCCAGTGTGAGCAGCTTGTGCATAATGATTCCCGTGCCTGTTTGTGCCACGTGGCTCCTGAAGACCAGCCATGTTCACCTGGTGTCAGAGGCACAAGAGTTGATTCTAGTTCTGAAGAGGCACTAGCTGGGTTGTCGTTCCCTAATGAAGCTCCTTCCCTAGAGGCTTCCCAGAGGAATTTTGGCTGCAATGTTTTCCCGTTTAAGCTGTGATTTCATCACGCATCTCTTTCATCGCCACATCCTAGTTGAGGCAGTCCCCTTTTTCACCTGAACAATTCAACAATTGCCCAACTGGTCTCATGTTTCCCCTCGCTGATCCTTCTTAAAGGCCTTCTAAAAATAAAGATGTACTTAGGTCACTTCCTTAGTTTAAAATCGTCAATGAGCCCAGCCATCATGGCTCAGTGGTTGAGTGTTGACCTATGAACTAGGAGGTCATAGTTCAATTCCTGGTCAAGGCATATGCCTGAGTTGCAGGCTCGATCCCCAGTGTGGGGCATGCAGAAGGCAGCTGACCAATGATTCTCATCATTGATATTTCTCTCTCTCCCTCTGCAATCTGAAATCAATAAAAATATATTTAAAACAAATAAAATCGCCAATGACTGTTTACTTATCGAGAGGAAAATCTTGACTCCTCAACTTGACATTCCAGGCTGTTTCTCCTCTCCTGCCACACGAGCTGCACTGTGGTCACAATGTGTGATCGAAGTTCTCAGATCATGGCCGCCCCTTCTTCCTGCCATCCCTCTGCCTGGAGGAGCTGCACCTGTCACTCACCTGCAGATATTCTGCTCATTCTTCAAGGTTCTGCTCCAAGGCCGCCTCTGGGATTTCTACCAGTCACTCTCAGCCCAACACATGCTCTTTCCTCTGGTTAAGCCATGCCCAGCTGGCACGGCTCAGTGGTTGAGCGTCTATGAACCAGGTCACAATTCAATTCCAGGTCAGGATACATGCCTGGGTTGCAAGCTCATTCGTCAGTGGGGGGCTTGCAGGAGGCAGCAATCAATGATTCTCATTGATGCTTCTCTCCCTCTCCCTTTCTGAAAAAAATTAAATAAATAAAATATATATAATTATATATAGTTCACGTGACTTCCTGCTCGTTCCACTGTGAGGGACAGAGCCCATGTCCTGTTCAGCTTTCTCCTTGCCCCCAGGCCCGGCACAGTTAAATAGACGTGCCAAGGTGGTTGAAGGAATGTGAGACCAGCCCCCTTTCAGGGGGTGCTGCTTGTTTTCCTGGGTTTCTCATCAGCCAGCCTTGAACCTGGATTTTCACCTTTCACAGAGGACAGCTAGATTGTATCGGGGGAAGGGGTGGCCACTAAATGTCAGTCTTCAGAATTTTTTTTTTTAAGATTTAAAAAAATATATATTTTATTGATTTTTTACAGAGAGGAAGAGAGAGGGATAGAGAGTTAGAAACATCAGAGAGAATCATCGATCAGCTGCCTCCTGCACGCCCCCACTAGGGATGTGCCTGCAACCAACGTACATGCCCTTGACCGGTATCGAACATGGGACCCTTCAGTCCGCAGGCTGATGCTCTATTCACTGAGCCAAACCGGTTTCAGCGGCCTTAAGAATTTTTCCAAGGGATTGAAGTTCCAGTGGTTGGGAGTCAGAGTGTGGACTGTGTGATACAGCTGTAAACTCAAATTATTCCAAACCTGGGATGTGGACTGTGAACCATTGCTTCTTGGTGCCAATGGCATCAGGGAGAATGGCAGAGGTGCCCTCGGGGTGGGAGGTACTGCTGGTGTAGGGTCCAGTGACCAGAAGTTGCACTGGAAACCCGCCCTTCTCCAGATCCTGGGCTTCTCCTCATTCCTTGGGGTATCAAGGGGGGACGGGGGAAACCTTCGTTCTTTGCTTTGTTTCTGGGCCTTTATTCTGCAGATCGAGGGCTGGGGGGACAGGCAGGGGAGCAGAAGAAGCTAGCTGGGTTCATCCTGGGAGAGGAAAAATAAGGGTGAGAAATAATGACTGAGCTTGGGACGGGTTTGGCAGGCTTGGATGGACAGGAGCATCTGGCGCCACTAAGGGATTGATAGAGTTAAAGAAGATTTCAGGGACTCTCTGTGCATTGGATGTCATCTCCTGGCGCCCCTCCCCTGCAGCTGCCACCCTCCCCCATGCCCTGGTGTCGGTGAAGAAAACTGCAACAGAGACAGACACCCTTTTCTCCTGGATACGAACATACGTTTGAATGGGACACCATATGTAGAAGTGACTGCAGGCCCAGCTGTAGACACGTTAAACTCTTACACAGCTGGAGAGTGAGCTCTGGGTCTTTTTTTTTATTATTATTATTTTAATGCTTTTACTGATTTTTAAAGTGAGAAGAAGGGGAGGGAGAAGGGAGAAAGACAGAAATGTCAATGAGCCCCAGCTGGTTTGGCCTGTGGATTGAAGGGTCTGGGGTTTGATTCCAATCAAGGGCACATTCCCAGGTTGCAGGCTTGATCCCCAATAGGGGTGTGCAGGAGGCAGTCAATCAATGATTCTCTCTCATCATTGATATTTCTATCTCTCTCCCCCACTCTCTGAAATCAATAAAAATATATTTAAAGAAAAAGAAAAATCAACGCGAAACATCAAATGGCTGTCTCCTGCACTCCCTCTACTGGTGACTGAGCACACAGGCATGTGTCCTGACCAGGAATTGAACCAGGGACCTCTTGGATGATGGGTCGACACTCAATTACTGAGCCACACTGGCTGGGCTGGATTCTGGGTCTTGTTCATCATCTGCTCTGTCTCCTACCCCACAACCCAGCACTGGGCCAGCACCCCAAGAAATGCCCCGTGTTCGCTGGAGACGATGGCGTAGGTCAAAGGCAGGAGGGAAGGTGGCGGTGGGGAGGGCCCTGTGAGTGTGGAATAGGAATTCCCATCGGAGGCCATACTGGTGAGGGGAGAACCCAGAATGGCACGGAGTCTGGAGGAGAGGCAGCGGGGCGGGGAGCAGTGGTCTCAGCCAGGATAGCATTTTTTGTTTTGTTTTGTTTTTAAATATATTTTATTGATTTTGTACAGAGAGGAAGGGAGAGAGATAGAGAGCTAGAAACACCGATGAGAGAGTGTCATCAATCAGCTGCCTCTTGCACACCCCCTACTGGGCAACCAGGGTACATGCCCTTGACCGGAAGCGAACCCGGGACCCTTCAGTCCCCAAGCCGACGCTCTATCCGTTGAGCCAAACTGGTCTCGGCCAGGATAGCGGTTTTGTGGGCCTGATTGTCACTTGCACAATCTCACAGTCTCCCCTAGACTAACATACCTTCTAGAATCTCAAGGAAGGGGTGGGGGAGGAGGTGGTAAAGAGAGTGGACAACTTCTCAGATACATCTGATGGGTCCTGCGCCTCCTGCCCACCCCAACCTACCGTTAACACTCCTGGGGAAGACCCCCTCCCGGCATTCGCAGACCCGGGTTTGAGTGCCAGCTCCGCCCCTTGCAAGTCATGTGATCCTGGGCCCTCTATTAATGCCTCCCCGGTCTGTTTCCTCTTGCAAAGAGGGAGAGCATTTTTATTTACCTCCTGTGCGAGTGAAGGGGAGAATGCATGTGAAATGCCTGTCCCTTCTTCAGCACAATGAATAGCCACAGGCACTGCTTATCACCATCATTAGCAGCGTTATGAGAACTGG